ACCACCACCACCACCACCGCCGCCAGTACGCCCTAATTTCCTGTTTGTCCGAGCTCTTGAGAGGTAAGATCATCCAGAAACTGTGGTGCCTGCAATTGTGGTAAGTGCTCACTGAGCAACCCACTGTGTTCATCAATTGCCTCGTGTGCGGTCGGACTCTGCTTGTTTCTGCTTCGAGTTCGCTCGCGAGGCATGTAGTAGGCGGCCAAGCACCAACTTTCCATGCACGGGCTGCGACACGTGAGGGCGGCAAGATATGAAGTTGCGATCCAAGGGACGAGCACACAGGCGTCAAATGCTTCGAGTACAGTAGCAGCACCGGCAAAGTCTGTCCTTGGGAGTGCGTCAGATGTGTTCGCCTGTGCACATGGAAGGGAACGCACATGTTGCGCTGTTTCAGAATCGTAGCAACTTGATGCTGGCCTTCCACTTGCACCCGGGCCAATGCACGTAAGGCTTACTGTACAGCTGACGTGCGAGATGGTGCGAGGAAGATCTTTGAATGTGCACCGCGGCTCAGCTGGCGCCTTCGTTTTGTGAAGCTTCCAGCTCGAGCACTTGCCAACTGGTTCAAACATTCCGAGTAGAAGCAAAGATATTGCGCAGGAGCGTTGGCTTCTGGACTTTGGATGAAGAGGGCTCTGGGGTGCTCGGTTTGGCTTAAACTGGACTTGAAGGGATCCGGGATCCGTGCTCCTTTGGCAAGTGCTGCTTTGCATGCTGAGCTGCAGTCGGCTATAGGCTGTGGACAGCGCTACAGCTTGCTGTCATGAGGAACGCAGGCTCAAGTGACGGATTGTTCAACCAAACTTGCGCAACTCAGAACTGTCGCCTCGGTCCTAGGCTATTGGCTGGATTGAAAGTCCTTAAGCTTATTCGCTTATTGGCTTATTGGCCTGTGCAGGCAATCTGGCAGAGAAGCTTTGGGTCTGCCCTCGCCCTACCATCATGGAGCGTTTGAAGCCCACAGCAGGTCAGTCGGGTACAGCACCAAGACTTGCTGTCTGAACCGATTTCTGCGGCGGATTTCTGCCCAGCCTTCTCACCCGGATTTTAAAGATGGCTGGGTCCTATCGCACCTGGCCAGTGGCCCCTGTGGCCAGAGCTCTGGGAGCTCACAGATTGGGAAGTTTGCATCAGCAATGGCAGATGCTACACGTCGCAAAACCTACTAGTACTAGTGCCAAATCTTGAGCTCTCTTGACTCTTGAGTACTCTTGATAGGGGCATTTTCGAGATGTGTGAAAGCCAAATGTTGTAGTGGGCAAGTTTTGCATGGCTTCCCGGTTGGTGGATCGTTTATATGCTGTACTGAAATCCTGAAGTCTAGCACAGGAAACTTGGCGATGAGAAGCATTTCGGAAACCGCTGGACGCCTTTGCGTGTTTCAACGAAAGGTTTGGCCACGACGCCGTGGTGAGCGCTGAGCGCTGCGGATTACACCGCACAAGCCACCAAGCCAGGCTGCAACAACTCGTCCTCTGGTCCTCTCGGCTCGGGAAGCCGTTCCTGGACTGGACTGGCGCTTGCTCAGAGGCTATCTTGAAAGACAAATCCGCAAGCCTAAAGTAGGCCTGTAAAATTCCAGAGACCTCGGCAAGGCAATACAAAGTTGTAAGCCTCGGATTTGGTGAAGCTGCGTTTTCGTAAGCCCCAGCAGTCACCTTTGATGAGCTGTCGGCTTGCCAGCCGGCCTGGCTGCAGCAACATATGTCAAACGAAGCAATGCATGTGAGCAGGTCGACTTGCCCTAAGTGCCACCTGCGTCTAGGCAGAACGCAGAGCCCCAGCCCAGGAGCTCTGTTCTACCTGTGATTCAAGGATATGCCAATTCGAGAACCATCCGCAATTCGAAAGAAGTGCGAAAAGGAGACCGACCCCATAGAATCTGCCCGCGGCGTGTCACATGCGAAGTCTTCAATCCGTGTTGCCTCCCCCCCCCCTCCACAGCTTTCATTCTCGAGGCGGTGAGCCTCAGCACTCGGGTTTTCGATCTGGCACTGGGTGGTCTCCGCAGCACCAGCAGGACGGGGCATGCTTCAGGTTGGCAGTCTATGCGTAAAGGGAGGTAGGGTCTTTGGCAATAATGCGATTAATGAGCCCTTGTCGGAAGTGAGCCCGGAACTGTCACGATTAGGTTGCTATGTGTACAAGAAGTAGTATGTCAGAAGCCGAACACCAAGCTAATCGCGCCTGTCATCTCAGTCTCGCGAGCTTGCCGATCTCTGCCCCTTGAAATCAGGATACGGGATGCCTCCGCCTGGATGCTGGCCAAATTCTTTGTACGGGGTGATGTGAGTGACTCCGGATTCCTGCAGCTGGGCTCCCAGACGAGGGCCGTGCTAGGGATGGCCCAGGCTCACACGGAACCGGGATGCTTCGTGTGCCTTTCCGGATGGCTCATGCCTTGTCAACGAAACGTTCGCTGATTTCGCTGCAGATGCACATTCACGAGGATGATCGAGGATGTGTCTGCACGCGCCACTCCCCGGCCGTGTGTAAGCCCTGTTGCAAGCGACTTGAACTGCAACGAACCTGCGTACAGCGTACGCTACAGAAGCCAGGACAGAAGACCAGGGAGGACCATTCTCTACAGCCTACGTCTGCTTCTGGAGGTCCTTCGTTGCCTGGACAAGACAATGCTGGCCGGTCACAGGCGAGCCATGCCCTCAGCAATGTAGGGATCGCGGGCAACAAATAACCTGTTGTTCGTGACTGCCTCTGTGCCTGGAGCGCACTTTGCATCGCTAGACTGGTCAGCCTGTTGCCGTGAGCTGCCACAAAGCCTGAAGCCATGAGAGGGGACTTGCGTGGGCATCTCTACTCAACTCTTCCTTTCACGCCGCGACTACTCACACGCTACGCTACAGGTTCAAGAAGCACACACACACACGCGGCGATACTTTCTTCAATGTTCGCGCCGGTGCCTCACAATACCATGTCATGGACCAAAGTCCTGACGCCATGACACACTCCAAGCTGCGGCTTCATGATCTGGGGCGCCGGACTGCGGTTGCCCAAGGCTGGATGACTTTTTGGCGTTTACACGCCAACAGAGTGTTTGTGCCATGGCCTGTCTCTCTTCGAGGCCCTTCGACAGCTTCTGCATTGCCTGATCCGAACGCGGCGGCGGCGGCAATTCTTACTGCTTCTGTCAGCCGTGTTGCTCGCTCGTTCTATTGAGAGGTGAGCGAGCTCATGGCAAGGGTATTTCAGAAGATCTTCAGACTGCCTCGAGGCTGGTCGGCAGGCACTTCTTCCAGCAGCGCGTGCAGAACTTCAAGCCGTCGCTTCTCGTGCCGAGGGCACAGCGACGCGGTGAAGGCACGCAGCAAGTGCGTGGATTCAAGGGATGAAGATTTGCTGCCAGAAGCGATGGAAAACACGGTGTAGAGGCAAGAAAGCATCCGAAGGCGGAAAAAAAGAGGCTCTTGGGCTGCATTTTCAGTATTTCAACGCTGCATTCCTCGATTTTTCGTGTCGTCGTGACGCCGCAAAGCACATCTCCAGGTTGATGTTCTTGACAAGGCATGTGACACGACGCCACGAGGTCTCGACCGAGTCGGGCGATGCTGAGCTTCGAAACGCTTTCTGCTGCGCAGCTGCATATGCCCGACTAACTGGGCCGAGGGGCTTACGTAGGCGCTGCAGCTTGTGGCTGGTCTGAGCTGTGGGCACTGGTTGATTTTCAAACAATGTGCAGGGAGGGGTGCCTCCCCAAACAAACAGGGGGCCTCAACAGTGTTTTTTTTTCTCTGGGGGGCGGGCTCCGGATTTGTAGTCAAGAGTAAGGGTAGGAGTAACATAGCGGCTGACATAGCGTTAGTAGCACTGGGCTGGACAAATTTGCGTTAAAGGGTAGCCCTGCAATCATGGCTGGAGACAAATTCAGTTGTTTGGGAAGCTGGGGACTCCAATACGCGTTCGTGGGTCTCAACAAGATTTTCAAGCTTTGCTCTTTAGAGGGACCCCACGCTAGTCCGGCCTTTACATTGCCGGCCGCGATACGTGTAGCAAAGCCAAGAAGTCAGACCTTATGTGGCCGAGGTGCTTTGTTCCGGGCGGCTGGGGAGCGCTGCGGCCGAGGTCTTGAGCCGGAAACGCTCTGAGGACGTGTGTAAAAATAAATCTTTGTCATCTTTCTCTTTCGTGCGTTGGTGCATGGTTGCTGGGGCAAAGCACACGCCCGTGGCCCTCCATGCCCCGTCAGGCCCACAGATCTCGGCCAAGATACGCTCTGGCGAGTGCGGCTCGGCGAAGAAACATGAAGAAACCGTGGCGGGTGGATGATTCGAAACCTCCTCTTGTGGAACTTCTGGCATCTCCTTTGTCTGCGGAGGCCACCTTCGCTGCTTCGCCGAGCAACGTTTCGCGCAGCTGCGCGCGGCGCCTGGGCGAGCAGATGCTAGCACGGGACCGGCAACCCTCTTGTCACCTCCTGTCTATGAGAAACATGGAGCACCGCGACTGCAGTCTGCATGCTACGGTTCCATTATGAGAAGCTGCGAGCATGCCTTGCCTCGAATCGAATCAATTTGGCACATGGGCAGCAGTAGAGACCTGACAACGGCCTTGTTTTTGCCACCCCTGTCCGATTCACCACACGATCTGTGTTAAAACAGATTCCTGTCAGTTGAAAGTATTCGCAGGAGACTCCGTAAGTAGCTCAGCCTGCTCGGTTCATGCGAGTACACATTGTTGAACCACTTCACTGAGGACTGGGGCCTCGGCGAGGAGCGCTACTGGGCAAGCTTGGCCAACAGCGGGTTGCGTGGTGGCATCCAGGACGCGCTGCTTCTCTGATGCTTCTGTTTCAATTGGACGGAGGACTCAAGTAACAACGGGGGGGGGGGCTGTCTTGGATGATTTGGGGATTAATTAACACAATGTCATGCTGCATAGGAAAACCGCTTGTTTGCAGGCAGGCTTTGGTTGGGGGTTGTGATTGCAAGGAGCCCAGTGGGAAGAGTGGAAGCCGGTTGGCAGCATCCAGCTTGCGCAAACTGTGTGCCACAGTGCAGCGAATTGGCCTTTGAACTCCCGAGCTCAGCACGGTCTCAGGCCTTTTCTGGATCTCTGGAGATGGACTTCTGGTCTTGCAGCCGGGTCGTTGATTGTGGCAATTCTGTAAATTAGCGTAAACCCGTCGGGAGAGGGGAGCCGAACAGAATGATTTGGACGACTAACCAGGACACACACTCACACACACATGCACAGATTTACACACCCGGCCAGGGGATGGGCACAGGTGGTGAATGATGTGCAAGCAGGGTAATGGAACTGGTGATTGATGCACCTCAGGTTCGAGGCGCCCTGACTGACTCGAAAAAGCCGACATTTGAGGCTTGCGCGAGACCACCCCCAGCCCCTTGCACAGCCCGAATCGCTTCTGAACGGATACGCAAGTGCACGATGCGTGTGTTGCAAGTCGCAAGTCGCGCTCACGAGCCTAGGACGGAAGGCATCAGCGAAGAGATCTTTCCTTGCACCGAGGAAAACCACCGAAGCCGACGAGCTCCAGAAGTTGCTGCAGGGTCTCCCTCGATATGCGTCTCGGTCTAGATACACTGGCACAGTGGATTTGAGAGGTGCGGGTCGAAGCATTGACCGGTAGCCTCTGGGCGCTGTTCTATCGGTAATATTTAGGTCTTGGATAGCACGCACCTCCTTTTCAGTTGCCCATTGGTCCGGGGTCTTCTTTGGTTCACGCATGGGCCAACCTTTAATCTATCAAGGGGGAACTGTCAGGCTGTGCGGGCTCCCTCTAGGAAATGTTGAGGGATGAACTCCACCGCTCCGTCCCCGGGGAGGTCGGACTTTCGGCTTAAAATTTCGCGGGGCTACGGTGCAACGTTCAGACTGCGTTGTGGACTTTGATGCTGATCAGCGAGTGTGGGACATCTTCACCTTGACTTAGATTTGCTACCAAACTTCGCTGCCTACATTGTTGTGGCACGAGCTTTGTCCCATGTGAGCAATGCGAAGTACAATGCCTTCAGGAACAGCACTTTGCCACCTACAAAAATTCGCTGCTATGTCGATTTTTCGGTGCATATGTGACTGGGCTGGAAAATTGATATTATGAAGCGTCCCCACCCAGGGGTCGTGCGGACGCTTGAAGCAACTTCGCGTGCAGGAGCTGCTTCTAGGACGTCGGCGAGTTCGTTTGGTGGTGATGAATAACACGTGTCTTGCCGCAGTTGCTGCAACTCTTTGACTTGAATGCGATGTCCACCTTCTGTCCAAGTTCGTTCTCTGCTTTGCATGCAGTGCATGTCGAACGCAACAGGTTCGCATGTGCTCTTCAACCCCATGTGGTCTACGATCCTCGGACGGCAACAGTGTTTGCGTGAGAGCTTCTTTGCAGGCTCCTGTAGCGTGTGTTCCGTTCGAGGCTAGTGCGAAGGTCTGTCGGCGTGCCCACCGCCGAAACTGAGGACCTCAAGGGCACGACGGAAGATCGGTGGGTCAATCCGCGGCCGGGTACTGCTGCATGGTCCAAATGTCCCTAAAAGTTGCAAGAAAGGCAACCTGCAACGGGACATAACGGGATAAACCAGACCAAGGTTCTGAAGGACTTGAACTTCGCGGACAAAACCATTGGAATTCCTGACGCATGGTTGCAACGCGCTTGTGACGTCGGCAATGTCTGCCATGATCTTCAGCCCGACTTATTTGGGAACTCTGTCGAGGACTTAAAGCACAAAGCTGCACTTCTGCACATCCTGAAAAGAGACACGCAGTTTCTGCGGAGCCAGCACGCTCCTGGGCTCAGATTCTAAAAAATATCCTTCGCAGAGCTGTGTGGATTTCGCCCTAGCAGAGTTTTCTGTGGCTGAGGTGATGGACTATTCCGTTTGCCTTGGAGTGCACTACTGCGAGGAGCCGTGCTCGATGTGCAGTGCCAGTTCCTCCAAGTCGTCCCACTCCCGAGCATTCACCCATGCGCTTGGGTCACTGTCGTTAGAGCCTTTAGAGTTTTGGGCATTGTTACCTGATGTTGTCCCGCTCCGTCGGCACTCCGGCTGCGATTCCGCTTGGCTTGGGGACTCGTGGGCAGAGAGGAGAACAGCTATCCCAACTCAGAGCTCATGACACCCGAGCCGGGCATCTCCTCTGTGCTTCGGTGCCAAGCATCGCGCTGGAGCAAGACCATGATACAGTTGCAGATCAATAGGTGAATATAGGTGAATGCATGGTTACGATTGCGATCGATTGCGCTTTGCTGAAACTCTTCGTGAAACTCTTCGTGAATGTTCGACCGTGTTCTTGTGATTACAACGGCACAGGGCTGGAGTTCAACAACTCTTGCCAAAACATCGCCCCCACCAACAGCCATCCGCTGCCCAAGTCACTGGCTGTCCTGCGTGGCTACGAGCCCAAGTATCAATGCACGCTGGCACCTAGGCTGCAGAGCAGTCAGGGCTGGGAGAGGCCTGCCCTTACCAGTTGATGTGAAGGTGAGACTTAAGCTTATGCCTTTCTTGGAATGTCTCCAGCATTCCAGCTTCATGCCAGCCGGCATAACTGTTCGGCAGAGCCGCTTTGACGACTTAGGTTCGAAATCAGCCTTCGCAGAAGGTGGTGTTCTTCATTGGCATCATCGAGCCTTGGTTTGAGAGTCTAACGGTCTCCGCAGCTTGTTTGGGCTATTGGCGTTTCGGGCAGGCTGAGTCCGTTGAAGGCTTCCGTCAAGTGCCTGGCTGAGCTGGCAGAGCTCGTGCTTTGCTCAGGACATCCTGCAGCAGTTCACTTGGACGAAGGCACTTGCACACACCGTGAAGCTTCTTGGCTCAAACTTGGGTGCGAGATGCTTCAACCTGATGATTGTTCTCAGCATCTCGCGATGTGTTGAGAAGGTCCCTGAGCCTTGGTTGGGTGCACGAGATCGACACGGCCCCGCCAGCTTACTACGCGCGGCGCTTCAAGACGCTGCTCGCCGGCAGTGCGGGGCCAGTGCGCGTGGGTGGACATTGGGGTGCTTGCAGTTTTGAGTATATCCGAGCTCTTGGGATCCTCGTCTGATACTGTTGTGCCCCATGCAGTCGGCAAGACGAGGTCTTTCTGTGCGAGACTTGGCCGATGAGGAGCCTGCTCTCATGCACAAAGCACAGAACCCGCGGTCAGTGTCCGTGTGGGCCAGGAGAGAAGGCTCAGTAATCTCATTGGAGGAGTAAGGGGAGATGCCGCGTTCCCGACGCTGTCTGGACCTGCGCTGTCCATGCGTCCGTCCGTCTTCTGGCTCGTTATGTATCGAAAGAGAAGCATTGTTAACTATCATCGTCCCATGCACCCATTCTCAAATGCCAATTGCTAAATGCTACATGCTACATGCAAGAGACCATACATCAAATACGATTTGTGCCAGCACTGTCTGGTTTTACAATGTCTTTATCACATTGACATGTATGTCCATAACTTCTAATCTGCGCACCCATCTGATGTATGTATGTATGTATGTATGTATGTATGTATGTATGCATGTACGTACGTACGTACGTACGTAGGTATGTGTGTATATGTATATGTATGAATATATATATATGTTATATATATAATATATATTATATATATATATGTGTACACAACATACACATACACGCACGTGAGTATCCCCGTGTGTATGTCTTCTGCTGCTTACACTTCCATACACACCTCATTTGAACATGTAGTTTGTAGTATGGAGATATAAAAACTCTCTCTCGCTCGTTCTCTGATACCATGCATGCCTGCATGCATCAGTTTGTGGGTGGATGTATGAAGGTATTTGCATAATATGTATGTAAGTATGTATGCATGTATGCGTGTATGAATGTATACAATCATTGCTGGCAAATGCATGCATAGGTGTTTCTATACTACAGACACAGCTTAGGCCAGCATTTTCGAGGTGATTTCTTTGTTCTCCGGCTGTGGTAAGCCCTGCTAGCTGCTAGATGCTACAGCCTCACAAGGAAACTCTAAGTCGACCATGAGGTCCGATTGTCCAGCTTTTTGTCCCGTCTCAAACTCTCGAGGAGCTGTGTTAGAGAGAGAGAGAGAGAGAGAGAGAGAGAGAGAGTGTGTGTGTGTGAGTGAGTGAGTGCAGCCGATCCCAACAAGACGAGTACCCAGCCGGTTTCATTTTCTGCACTTCTCGCAATCTTTGATCGCGAGGGATGCGGCAGTAAAGTCCGGAGGATACTCCGAGGGGAAACCGAATGCTATTTTCCCATTACATTCTTTCGTACCATCTTTCGGAGCACAGTTTCCCTGTATGGAGCGATTGCAGCAGCAGCACAGGCAAATATTGCCTCGGTGTTGCAAGCGATTTCACAACTGCCCTCCGCAACGGACGGGGGCGCCGACGGCGCGCGGGCATAGGGGATTCCCCTGTGCCCATAACCCTGCCGAAAGAAAGAGAGTGAGTGAGTGAGTGAGTGAGTGAGAGGCTGTGCTGGAACCCCCGCTGGCCCAGGAAGGTGCAGACGTTCCGTGAACCGGAGGCGCCAAGCCTGCAACAGTGCCGCACCGAACACATTGCGTGTCTTCTGCCGACTTGCACTTCTGCGGGCGGTCAGGATCGCGTCACGCGCTTCGTCCGACGGCTGCGCCTGGGCATCGAGAACGGCTCCTCACTTGAAACTATAAACTATTGCGACAGAGAGCTTGCACGGCAGAGACATTCCATCCGGCCCGGAGCAGCCTGGGACTCCTCTACATGGCTCCTTCATCTTCCTTCGATCATTGTGCCAACATACCTGCCTGTGGCGACATAGATCAAACATGCCATCGCACATCGTTTGGTGCAAATGCGGTCAGAATTCGGAGAATGTCTGATTTTGGCGGGAATGATGGAGGGCTGCATGCCTCACACTGGGAATGATGAATGTGGCACATGTGTGCGGTGGCCAACACACATGCGTGCATCGAAGAGGATGCTTGCAAGGCAGCCTGTTGTCGCGCGTTGCCCACAGCCTACATGCGCTCTTTGCAAAGACACGTGAACGGTTTGCAGCAAATATGTTTTAGAGCCCAGCGTAGCTTGCGACGCTGGGAGACTCAGCATCACTGCAGGCCGAAAGGGCGAGCATTCCCAGATGCATAATGCCGGTAAGCACACTATGCAGAAACGCACGGAGCGCCAGTGTGGGCCTTCTGGTTCATTGACTTCAGGTACAAGATAATGGTTGTACATCGTAGAAACATTTGAGCGGACAGGACGGAAGTGCTGAAAGTAAGACCACTGAGCAGGTCCAGGTTCAACTTGTGTGGTGAGCCCCTGGTACGTCAGAGTTTCTCACGGCCGCTCAATGTGCTGACCTCATGCAAGGGAGCTTCAGTCCACCCAACATTGCCACCGCTGGAACAGAGCGACGTGCACTATGTGTTCCTGCACATCTGTTCTCCGCCTCGGATTTCCTGAGGCACCGTGCCCTGCCCTACCTTTGTCAGCCTTCAGCGGCCGCGGACAGAAACAAATCCCGTGTCATGGCACTGTGTTTGGATTGCTTTCCATAACGGAGGTCGCTGAAAGGCCAGCGGCCATAGATCGCGTATCCAGATGCTCAGGAGTTTAGTGCCGACCCCACGGCTGATGTGACACTGGACGAGGCTGTGGACTTCGCCGTCAGGCCGTGCCGTAATCGCGAAAGCCTCCGCAATCCCACCAAGACCAGCAGCAGCACCAGCAGCAAAATAGTAGCAGGGACACGACATTCATTAACAGGGTAACAGTAGAACTGAATGCTGTCGTTAGCCTTGGCTTCCACCTCAAGTCACTTTCGACAGCTGTTCCGCCGTGCCAGACGCGGTGGGCAACTGCTGGTGGCCCGGCGTGGTCTGCTCCGCAGTCGGGCAGAGGAGGTGGAAGCTTTCCTGGACATGGATCGCCATGCACTGATCTTTCAGGCGCACCTGCAAACATCACGTTCGGAGATTGGACTGTCACAGACCCCTCTAAGTTTCCTCTAGGAGATGGCACGGCGCCCTTACGCACGCGGCCGCCGCCCTACATCGCTTGTAGCCTGCTACAAGATCCGGCGTGTGTACTTGACCATTGTCTGCTACAGGCCCCGAGGGCTGGGGCTCATGGTTCATGCCCGAAGGGTGCTTGGACCGTGTCCACTGAACGAAATCATGAGACTTAGCTCAAAACAAGATCACTAGAGTGGACATAGCCCATTTAACGTGCTTATAGCCTTATGTACCAAGCTCCATGATCCTCCATGTCTAGCCCCCATCGACTGCTTGAACACCGGCCTGACTACACAAGAATGTTCCAGAAACTTCCCGAGTCCCTTGCCAGGCCGCGAGACTTGTACTGCATGGCATGTCGCTCCCACATGAGCCCTGGCATCAAGTCTGGCCAAACTTTTGCAGCGAAGCGCACTGCCGATATGCGTGGGTGTGCGGGATCATGGTTGAGCATCCACCAGCAGGTTGTAGATGCCGGTGGCACAATATCCGCATGAACACCGGCACTCCGACAATGCTCATACTTCGAAAGTGACTGGAGGAGCCAAAGCACTCATCACATTCAAGGAATCACTCGCATTTTTTTGCAGAAACAGTGAGAAACATCGAGCCGCTTGCTCAAGGAAGATTGAGGCTGAACCCCCGGAGTCGCGGCGCTTTACAGTGGAGGCTTTTTGCTTCTTGGGTTTGCCTTGCCGGAAGACCAGTCCGTCAAGCTGCTGTGGCAGCGAGGCGGATGACGAGGAGCCGCTTCGCTTCACCGCGCCCAGCCGGCGTCAGGCCTGGCAGAGCCTGGCAGCCTGGCCTGTCGTCAGCTTTCAGTGATCCGGTTTGCTGCTCAGGCGAAGCTCTGGGTCACAGCCCTGGAGGCGCTGCTCTCTGCTCTCCGATGCTCTCCGCCGGCGCTGAGTGGCCGCTTCGGCAGGTTGCGGCAGGCTACGTCGAAGCAAACGTCGAGGACGTCCGAGAAGCACAGGCCGCTGCGCTGGCTCTGGACTCAGAGGAACCCCCGGAAGCATGCGCCTGAGGGGGGGTTTTGCACAGCTCGGGGTCTGACAGAGGTTAGCTCTGCCAGTGGCAGCCCAGATGCAGCCTTCCTCTCCAAGCCGGCCTCGGCAGAGCCCTGCCTGCGAATTAGCGTATTGGACCTCTCTCGCAGGCTCGGCAGAAGGTAGATCTGGTCAGGTCCGTGCGGCGCTGCTCGGTTCCTTGGATTTTCTCTTGGAGGACGCCTGTCTGGCGTGGGCATTGTGTGAGCGTACCCTAAACCCTAAACCCACGGTTTAGGGTTTAGGGTTAGGGTTTAGGGTTTAGGGTTTTGCCTGAAACTGTGCTGGCCTCGGACACTGAGACGACGTGAGCGCTGGTTGCGCAGGAGAAGGAGCTTGCAGTGGTGCTCGGTACGGCGCGGCAGGCTCTGTGCGACTGCTGAGAAAGAGTCTGTTTGAATGCCCGGTGCAAAGCTTGTGACTAAGGCTTCGGGTTTTGTGAATGCACTGCAGGCGAGACATGGGCTGCTGGAGCCGTACCTTCTCGGGCCAGAGGCAGGAAGTGGGCGGAGGATTCGGCGGGGTGTGGAAGAGGTCGATTCGGGTGGAAAAAGGGGTGGACCAATGGCGCCTCACTGCAGCTCTGCCGCTCTGCTGTGCTGAAAGACCTGTTCGGCCCTGTGTCTGGCCAGGCAGAACGTCGGTGGCAAAAGAGGCGTCTGAAGTGGATTTTCGGCTTCGTCGCCGGAATGCACGCAAAGTTTGCCAGACAATGGGATCACATCCGCATGCTGTCATCGACAGCTTAGGTTGATGCCGATGGAACAGGAGCACTGTCCATTGAGAAGATCAACCTGCTACAGAGCTGCAACGAGATGCTTTGGGCGGATTCACCAGAGACTCAGAGATATGCTCTGACTGCTTCATATTTACTTCTGAAACTCTCGTGACTCGTGAAGTCGCTGCTGATAGACCCACTCTCTCGAAGCCAAGCAACCCTGCTTCAGGTTCATCTTAACCAAGTCAGAGAGGAGGCGAGAGCAAGCCCTCCAAATCTCAAATGGGCAGCATGCGTATTGCATACGCAGCTTCAACGCACTGCTTTCGGTGAGTAAGGTTGTGGCATGAGATGAACATCAATGAAAAGGAGGGCCAGCAGGCTACATGCACAGTCAGTACACAAATGCTAAAGCTGCTCGAGTCGCTGGAGCTTATCTTGAAGCTGCTTGCACGGCGGTCACAGACGAAAGGGCAAGAAAGGGCTGCTAGCTGCTAGCTGGCTTCACTCCAGAAGTTTCGTATCCGTACGATTACCGCTCAGCAGTGCATCTTCTTCCCAATTCCATCATAAAGGGTGGAAGACGGGAAGACGGGGATGTATGGCCAAGTGCAAGAAGCCGATTCTCTCCAGGTCCTCCAAGCATTCCTGCGAGAGGTGCCTTGTCTCATCTCTGTCGACCGCTCCACGTGCAGAGTTAATGTTGCTTTGTGGACTAGCTCAAGCTGGATCGGGGTGAAGTCCTACCGCAAGCTGAGATTGTAGTCCTGGCGAGGTGAGTGCGCTGAGAACTGTTCACAAAGAGCTGGATCCTGAAGCCCGGGCAGCCAGGAACGGCAGGGCCGTCGTTCCGGCGGTGGTCGCCAGATCGGTGGCGGTCAAGTACTACGACTCCAGGTGCCGGGTTTCGGCCGAGCAGTAGCCTGGAGTCCATCCATGGCGAGAGTGCATGGTTCTGTTCAAGCTGGGGCGCAGGATTGGACCAAAATGCTGTCTCTGGTGGACAGTGCCTATGCCTGTAGCTTAGTCATCACCGTTCCTGCATTGATGGCCCACGACCTGATTGTGTACGGGATGCTCCTGTAATCCAAGCTTTCCCAAGCCCGCCCTGCCGAGTCCGAGAGTGTTTGCCGGAACGGGAACAGGAGAACCGATACCGTAACACCACCAGGCCGCCCCTCGTAACAGGAGCCAGGGCGGGGCTCCAAGAATGACTTGCTTCACATCCACAAGCTCTTGTGGCCTCGCCAACTCCGGGACCCGCTTTCCGGTTCCCCACTTATACGGCTTGAAAAATGTCATGTCATGTAACACTAGAAACTGACCTCATATATCCACAGCAACCTTTGTGATGAATTTCGATGGCTACAGCATCGGTGTTGCCATTAACGCTCCAAAGTCTTAAAGTAACATTGCATGTGTCTGCTGCGAGTGAAACTGCAAGTTTTCGTGACTTGTGTGCACGATCCTGTGACGAAGGCTCCTGTGTGTAGTCTCGTCACTTCTTTCTTCGTCCTGCTTCTGGTGCTACGAGTTGACCGAAACCCCAAACCCCAAAGCCGTTCTCGAACATTTAAAGCCGTTCTCCAGCGTTCAAAGCCGTTCTCGACTCGCACATGCCTGAACCCTTGAACCTGACCCGTGAAAAACACTAAACCCCTGAACCGCTAAACCTCCCAAATACCTCTAAAGCCGCAGAGTCCTAAACCCGAAAGCCTAAACCCTCAACCCAGAAAGCAAGCCAAGCAGTCCACGATGGCGTGCAAAAGCCTCGCCCCGCCACCACTAGTACTTCGACTTGAATTGGTACGAACCTTCTTGTAAGATAGAACATCCATACTCTTTCGACAAAAACAATATGAAGAAACAACTTGTGGCTTCAGAGACAAGGAGTGTATTGCCACTGGCATCCTATATCCCAAACCGTGAGTCTGTATCAACCCAAAACTATATCTGCCTCGAACGAAACATAGGTGCAAGCATAAGGCTTTCATAGTGTCAAAGTAGGGGCCCGGTACCCCCCCCCCCCCGCACACAAGAGTTCCAGCATAGTTTCGGTTGCTTGGCTTTCCCGTGACAGTTCCCGTTACGCTCCCGGAGTGGTTCCTGTTTCTTATTGCCCTCGTTCCTGTTACGACCCCCAGAAATGGTTTCCGTTGCGCGCCAAACGGGTTCCTGTTACTCCCCGCGCCCGGTGTCCAACCCCTTTGCTTGCCGGCCTTGGCGACTGAGTGTGCTTCACAGTTATCGGTTTTGTTGTTTATGAGCCGCATCTTCGCTTTGACAGTGGTAAGTCGAAGAAGCCGTCGAAGCTTGACGCATGCTATGTGACCCCCGAGTAAGGTGAAAGCAGCACACCGGTGCGTGAGGGACCACCTTCACCTTGGCCGCCCTGCTTCGTGCAGCGCTGGAACGCCTCTTGGCAACCGCATATACAAGCTCGGCCCCAGCCAATGATTGAGCTATAGTAGGTAGTTAGGGCAGACGTTAGCCTAGGGTCGGCTGGGCCAAGGGTGAGGCTAGGCCTACCTAGCCAGGGAGCAGGACTAGGCTAGAGGTAGGCTGGCCTGGAGAGGCTAGGGCGCGGCTACGACTGGCAGCGCTGAGTTTCGGGTTAGGCGAACTCTGGGCCATTTTTGACTTGTTTTCGCCGGGTTCGAATTGCAAGTTTCAGTGATCTTTTGATGTTTGATTGCAATATTTTTGGGGCTTCCCCCGTCACAGACATCTTGGCTGAGTTTCGGGTTTGGGCAACTGCATCGGTGGCATATTTCCGTGGTCCTAGACCGAGCCCTAGGCTCACCGCAAGCCGGGGCGAGGGGTCTTTTGCACTTGTGGCCGAACATTCGAATGCGTGTCCTGAGCCCCAGCTTCAAAGGATTTCTTAGGCTCGGACTGCAGGAGGACTAGAGCTTGGCAAGCTTTCGTCCAGGATGTCGGAGCTGATGGTGCACGGAGTCAACTCGGAGCCGGCAATGGTGCAGGCCAGGGTCAAAGCTACTCCAGGGCTTTCGTGGCCCCAGGTGATTGATGATTCGCTGTTCAGGTGACTGCAGATGACTTGGCAGGCTTCTTCGTGGGCATCCAGGGTGCACCTTGGGGCGCAAGAAGCTCGCTCGGCGTGGCGTTTGGGTGAACGATTCCCTTCTGACATATCTTGCAGCCGCGCTGAGGTCTGGCCGCCTCCATCGAAGCAACAGGTCGAAAGGCTAATTGCACGTTTCCTGGCTGTGCTGGCTTTATGTCTTTCGCTCCGTGAAGCACATGTTGAAGACTGTTACACTGTTATTCATACAGTAACAGCAATTGGGTCTTTGTTTCGTCGCGAACATGTTGTACCATTTGAGGCCTCCCAGCACCGCTCAGCTCCAAGCATCACAGCCTCTCTGCAGAAGCGCCGCTGGTCATGGAAGCAAGTGCATGTATACCGCAATACTGCTTGTGGAGGATCATCTCCGAGCCTCGCAGTTGAAGGCACAGCCCTGTCCTAGGTTGGTGCAGCTGCTTTGCTCGCCAGGCAGGGGAATCTTGCTGCAGTGTGAGTTTCTGTCGTCGGCTCGAATCTCACACCTTGCAGTGCAGTTCAAGAGCTCAAGACTGTTCAGGCAATGCGCTGGTGGACCCAGCAAAGCGGTCTTTGTTCCAGGACTCTTCAATGCCTGTCTGAAAATTTGGTAGCACTGCCTTCAGAACCAACCACGAGGGCTCTGTCCCGCTATCAGGACATGACGCAGCCGCTGTCCGCCTACTTCGTAGACACCTCGCACAACACCTACTTGGAGGTGGTCGTTGCAAGGGCGATTTTAGCAACCTCAGCCCTTTGTCGCTGCAGCGAGGGCAACCAGCTGAGCAGTCGCTCCTCCGTGCTCCGCTACGTGGAGGTTCTCCGCACCGGTTGCCGATCCGTGGAGGCCTGGAGAAGAGCGGATCGGATTCCCACAGCCAAAAGTGACCCGTGGCGTCTGCGAGGTGGACGTTTGGGACGGCAGCAATGGAGAGCCGGTGGTCAAGCACGGGTACACTGTGACCACGGAAGTGGCTTGAGTGCATTGGGGCTCCGAACTACTTCGAACCTTGCTGTTTCGCCTTCCACACCCGCTCCCCTACCAGCATTCTAGCTGTCCCCGATCCCTTGATGAGTGTGCTTGCTTTATCGAAGCCTTCAGCCCTGCTATCAATGCCCCAGTGACAGTCAAGCCAGCCTCGACGTCACACCTGTGGCTACGGTCTTGGTTGGCTGCCACACAGCAAAGAACAACGAGCAACTAAGCTCCTAGGTTCCGAAGCTCAGACTCAGGTACTTTTCCAGGATGTCATACAGGCCTGCTCGTCTTACTTATATAGCTTACATGTGCCTGTGTGCCCTGACCGGACCACTGCCACGGCCTTGTACTTTGCTTCGTGCTTGCAGGCTATCGCCGATCATGCGTGCCCTGGCAAGAAGGAAGGCAAGTCAGAATCCTTGGATTCACATCCGGGCTGCAGCTGTTTGCCAGCGCAGTTGTCTGTGAGCAGGAGTCAGGTTCACTCTTTCTGTTGTGAGCGCGCGATTAGTTGAAGCAGGATTAGCAGCGGGAAATCTTCACTGAACGTTCACGGCCAGCTCAGGTTCGTGGCATCAGAGTTCCCAGTCATCATCTCCATCGCCCCTTTACTGCAGGTTCTTGACGCATCAATTGAGCATTCTGCGAGCTTCAGTGGTCAGAACAGTTGTAGACGACCCAAGCCTGCAGAGTCTACCCAGGAGCAGCATTGCTGCGCGGCGCAACGTATCCGACAGGGGCAAATCATGTCGGAGGTGCTGGGAGACCATCTCTTGAGGCCGACTCACTCTCCGGTTGGTGCACGACTTGAGCCTTGATTTTGGGAGGCCACCCTGGGACGAGCACCACCAGTGCATCGACGGTGCTCAGGCCCAAGGGTAGAGGGCATCGACAGATATCGACAGGGTAATACTTGGTTTATATCCGCGGCATACTGTGCTTTGCCCATCCTAGGCGTCGCGATACTTGTTCAGGGATACAGGTATATCAATGCATGGTCGTGCCGTGCCGGGGACGGGGAGCGTTGGGGGAAAGGGGGAGCAGGGTTGTCACCTGGCATCCTCAAATTTCCATCGTCGTTGTACCAAACACATCCTCCACCTACCCAAACTGAACTCAGATGCCCATGAGCAATGACGGGTGCGGCGCTCAACTGAATGCGCTCCTCCCTCCTCTCTTCTCCACCAGGGCCTGGTTATTTCAAGTCATTCGGGCGATTTCGTGGTCAGAAGTGTTGTTGCCACCTGTCGGTCTAACTCAGCAGGAAATCACCGAAGTAAAATGCAGCACGAACGCGAACGCCAAATACCTGCAACAAATCAGCACAGGAAAACGGGACACAAAGCACACGCTCGTCGATTTGATCACCAAGCAGAGCAAAACAGACATTGGCTGCATTGCCCGACTTTTTGATCATGTCAGCTCTCGAACCAGGAAAGCATAACCGCCTCCAGAAAAACCTCCAGGAAAGTGTGACACGTAGGGATCAACTCCCAATACATGCACCCAAAGGAGCACCGTACATACCTGATGTTTTCTCCAGATTCCGAAGCTTGGCATGCTGGCGCCAGGCCGAGTCCATCTCGCCATGGTCGGCACGAAAACGTGTGCTCGTTAAGTCCTCGCAGCTTGGCGCGAATGCCGGTGAGATCTGCTTGGAACGGTTCTCTCTTGAAGCCAGATGAGATTTAGGAGGAACAGGGCTTCAGTGAGATGCGTCTACGGCTTCCGTAAGCAGGAGGGCTGGCAAGGAAGCCAAGGATCGGCTGCTGTGAGCGATGCCAGCGGCCGCTTCCGGTCTACGATCGCTGCGTGGCCCTGCCGACGCGGAAGCTTGGGGTGCATTGGATGACTGCTTGTACCGGTATTGCGGGTGTCATGAGATAATTTGTGCGCGATCCAAACTACGCGAAGCGAAGCCCGAATGCGAATGCCGGCCCTGCAGACTCTTACTTATAGGTAGAACGTCGTGGCTTTCAAACGTGAGGCGTGCTTCTGCAGCCGTGGGGGTCTGTGCATATTCGCACATCTGGATTCAAGAGTCTCGTGCTTCTTCGCATGTTGCCGTTGTCGCTGTCACGAGCATCCCCGATCGCAAACCCGCGGCTCTGGCACCACCGAAAAAGCTCCGAGGGTCGAAGGCTTTGGAGGTTCAAGCTGGAGACCCTGAAAGCTCTGGCTCTGGGCTCGGTGGGGTCGGGTTCGGAACTCTGCAGAAAGGGGATCGGCACACTTGCAACTCGGGGGGCTCACAGCCCTCGCTCGAAGCGCACGGCTTTCGGCCTCTATTGGCTGAAATCCTTGAGGCGCCAGTTCGGAAGTAGCAGCTAATCCAAAAAGCGCTTTCAGCAGAAATAGAGCCAGTGAGGCATTTCACGGCTCCGACAAGCTGTCCTCACAATCGCTTGAAATGGTTCTTGGCAATTCATGCAACTACGAGCGAGGAAATTGCTCCACAAGCTGGTGGAGAGGGAGGTGCGGCTGTGCTTGGGTGCCTGCGAGTCTGAGTCTGCCTTGCCATCGGCGCACCGCAGGAGGGAGAGAGAGATTGCAAAAGACAGACCGGGAGAGAGAGATAGCGGCGAACCCCCACAGTCCCCCGGTAGCTCTTACCTTCTGACTCATTTTCTGTCCCCTTGGGACGGCTACCTGCGACACCTGTTACCTATAAAGAGATCCTCACCCATCCAACAAAGTTTATCCCTATCTTCCCCATCCATGAAGTATGTACCTCTGCTCTTTGTTAGACTCAAGTGCCGATGGAGTCTCAGCTGCATCGCCTTATCTTTGAGGGATGGAATCTGTATCGCTCCGACGGGTTTGAACGTGGGTGACCGCCTCCTGATTTGCATGCCAGTTGAGTGATGGAAGTGCTTCCCCGAGCGCCTTCTCTGTGGAGCAGGACACACAGGGACGCAGCGGGAGCTTTTTTGCTTTGAGCAACTTGTCGCGGGGCAGCTGTGGAGGACTCGAGCTACCCTTTTGAGGTGGCTTCTGGGACTGTGGCGAAGGTGGAATGGTTTCCGACAGTGTGCAGGGAGTGATGCTTTGGACCCAAACCGTCAAGAACCACATGACTCCAGGTGCACAAGCTGGAGAAGACCCTGGGACGTGATGCCATGCGGCGCTGGAACTCTGCGCATCTCTCTCGCGTCTACCCCGAGGGCACACGCATCGGCTCAGGCAACGTGGATCCCGTGGCTCGGCTTTCGATGTAGGTCCGCAGTGCTTCAAGGTGTCGCAGATAGGGCCTCCGGCCTGAGGTGCCAATGTGGCTCTGCGGTGTGCAGATGGTGGCCATGAACTACCAGACATCGGACACCGGCCTCCTTCTCAACGAAGGAGCGTCGCTTTGCCCTCGCCCATCTTCGCCCGTACAAAGCATGACTTGGCCTCAGTGTTGCGCAGGCCTCTTTCGAAACTACAACGGTGGATGTGGCTACGTGCTGCACCTTGGCCATGTTGTTGTATGTTGCTCTGGGAGAGTCTTCGTTGCAGGTGGCCATAATGCCGAAAACACAGCGAGTGATCAAAAACAGAACCAGTTTTTGTGGCGTGTTCCTGCTTTACGCAGCGCTTGAAAGACGATACTGCAGTGCCTTTACTCGGCCATAGTACAGCACAGAAGTCATTTTCCAAGGCTCCTTCTGATGCGCTTTAGCAAGAATTTGTCAGGTCTGTGTCCTCCAAAGAACGACTTCTGTTAAGCTCAGGAAGCCGCCTCTGCCCCCAGACATCGTCAAGCCCACATCACGGAGGTGCCTGATGTTTGGGGCTGGATGCCGACGGTCGTTTGGGGCAACTTCAGAGTATTTCCCGGTCTCCTGGTGCTGCAGGCTTCGTCTTTGCATCTGCTGCGGGCACCGTCTGCCAAGGCGAGGGTCCTCTTGCTCCAGCGGCTGCACTTTGTAAGTGATCTGTGTCTGCATTGCACTTCTGCGTTTCGAGTATGTCGCAGAACGCATGTCACAGAGTAGCGAGACGACGACTGTCTCACGGTGCAACCTGTGGATGCCAAGCCTTAAGCTCCAACATGCTCAAGCTGACATTTGTAGAGGGCTCTACAGTTGCCTTGGCAGGCCAGACCTGTCGCTGGGTGAGACCCGCGGTGCCGCTCAGCTCGAAGGGATGTCTGGGGTAGCGGGCTGTTTCAGTGCTTCTGAGCCAGGTGAGCTCGCCGATGGTCACAGTGTCTCTGGAGCCTGGCCAGCAGGCCGCACGGCTGAGCCCTGCTAGCAGCCGTTAGTTAGTGCTATCAAAGTTAAGTTCTGATTGCTCAAGATCTCGGTGCCGGCCGCTCTTCAGTCGTCAAATCCAGGCTTTTGACCCGGCAACCTAGCTTGGTTTGCCAGGTGTCCCACACCCGTGCTGTGAAGCAAGACGGTTACCACCCCGTCTTCGATCACGAGGCCGGGGTCCTTTTCCTAAAGATCAACTGCTTCACCTGCACCTGCAAGTTGGCACCATTGCCTGCCTGCCTGTCTGCCTGCCTGCCGCACCCAATATATCCATGTCGAAGCAAATTACGAATGAGTGGACCCCAGACGGCGTAGGAGTATGAATCATGTGAAGTCATGAATTCCTCGCAGAGTCTGTCGATGTCTGATTCCTTGTAGCCGGCACATGCTCACATGCTCCTTGACTCAACACCTGCCGCCATCGCAGTTTCCCGTGTCCACCTGTGGCAGGCAGAATTGCAAGTGTCGGATAGCCCACTGCACATCCTCACTTTCGAAGTCTTCGATTCTCGGCGATCCAGCAAAGCACTGGGGGACACTCTTTGGAAGGTCGTTCCTAGTGTCCTGAAGCCCAGGACACTCCCACCGGCAGAACTATGGCCAGGACATGTCCGGCTGGTGTTTTTCTGTGGTCTTGTCACTTGACAGAAAGGTTTGCCTCAGGGACATCCCCCGAATCTGCTGCAATCGCAGGAGTGCTGTGACGCTCGATGCTGTTCGTCCAGGCTTTCGCTGGCTGGCCCTTCACAGCCCGCAGGGCCACAGCATACCCCGATGCGGTCTGCTGCTGCAAGTGCAGTTTCTCCCTTGAAGTGCAAATGAACAGGTGAGACAATCGTAGCAATAGCACCAATTTTCCCGGCCACGAAGCAGCGCTGCAAGTTGGCTGAGCAAGCACTGTGATGGTGCAACAATCGTTAATATACCCACTGCTTCGCGAGCAGGCCATCAGCTGTCTGGTAACTAACTGCCGATGTGACATTGTTCGACGGCGCCTCTCGCGCGGCAGTGACTAGCATTTATGTTAATGTCCTCTGGCCCGGATGGCCACAGGAGAAGCCACATTAACTTTCTGAAACAACTGCTGGGAGTTCTTTGACAAAGCGTTGTGATCCTAGCCGTAAGGCCGTCCACGTTCCGGTGGGGTGCGATCGGCTGCACCATTTGACTTGATGTCTTCTTCTGTGGCATCCGCTCAGCTCGATAGGTGCTGTTTAGCGAGAGCCGAAAGAAGGATCCTGTGCCTCCTTTCACATCCTACAGATACAGCCTGCTTGATTCCAACCTGGCAAACCGAAGGCCAGGAAGCTCCATCACTTCCGTTGCCTTCGTGCGGACGGGGGCCCTGCAGGCCATGCATTTTGCTGAAGCGGAGAGAGCTCTGGCTCTGGGCCTTGGTGCAGGCTTGGAACCAGATGCTCAAGGTGGCGCCAAGGTCCGTGCTGAGCGGCCTCTGGCGGGAGGCCAGGGTGGGTTTCGAACTTGAACCACAAGCATGGGTGGCTGGGTGGCTGCTGCATGGACGAGCCGGAAAAACCTACGTACTCGGCCTATCTGCGCTTGCAACTGAAGTGCCAAACTACTTACTCCTTCACATGTGCGAAGCTGTTGCCAGAGAGTTCTGCGAGGTGCTACGGCTAGTCCTTCAGGGGCCATGCGGCAACGGTGGCTGCAGCACGGCTTTGGATCTTGTCTTGTCAACTTGGGTAGATAGACTCGTGTCGAAGATTCTCCTTTCTGGCTCCATCGATGCGCTCAGATTCAGCCTGGACTCCCTTGCAATCCCTTGCACTTCACGGAAGAACTCAAGGAGCCGATGTCTGTTCAGCCAGGTGATGCGGACTTTGGCTCTCTCTCCAACCTGCGGAAGCTTCGTGTGGCCATGTGCCCAGTGCAGCTTTTGCTCAGAGGAACCGAGTCCGAGGAGTCGAAGCGACTCTGCCCAGGCGGTCGCCTGTCGGGCAGGACTGGTGGCTCTGCCGCCGCGGTTGGCGTCGGACACCCGGTCCGTTTGTTGCCCTCTGCCGTGGTTCAACGCAACTTTGTTAACTTGGGAATCATGAGATCCGGATCACAGCTCTCTGGCATGCAGGCCTTGGCGCTACGAACGGGGCGCGCGCTCCCTGCTAGTCAACTTTGCAGAGGACGGCCTGCTTCAACAGAACATGTCTCTACGTCTCGATACCTGCCGTAAACAAGCGGAGTGCAGAAATTCTGGGCTGTTCTTGGCATCACCTTGCATCACCATTCTCTTCTCACCGGTACACGCAGGCTACTGGCAGCAGCGCACCGATTGCCTCCGCAGGCGTGCAGGGTCCTCCAGAACTTTCTCCAAGCTGACTCAGCAGAGCAATTGCACTGGACTTGGGCGGTTAGGCCTCAATGTTGGCTCCGTGAGCCAAGAGGAGGATGCGGAAGAGGATGCCCCGGAGGAGGTCGAGGAGGCCCGACAGAGCCGTAGAGTTCTCTCAGGCCCGATGTGGCTCCTGAGGTGGTCGAGCTTCTGCTTTCGGCCCTGCGCGATGCCGAGACGGTCGTGCGCTGGGCCGCGGCCAAAGGTGTCGGCTAGAGACCCAGCCTGCATACAAATTTTGTACTTATATTTTCAAACGTGTTTACACACTGTCTGGTTGCTTGTTGCAGTTTCAGGTGAAGGGACATACCGCTGTGGTGAGCTTTTGCACGAAGCATCACCAAGCCTAGGGTGAAGCAGACATGGATCTTCTTCGAAGCTTCGGTGCTCTCTGTCGAAAGCATACCACCCACCGCACTTTTGCAATTGGTTCTGACCGAATATATGATTAACATCGACATGCACAAGAGCACAAACCACAGCAAATGGAGTGCCTGTCATATCATATTCCGTATGTTTTGTTTACCGAATCGGATGGTCGGAGATGACACGTTGATCGCAAACTTTTGGCTAATGTTCATGGTGTTATGGCATTTCCGGCTTGCTTCGTGATCGGTATATATTTTCAACAGCATTTTCATCAGTTTTGGTTGAGTTGGCTAAAACGGTAGCTAAAACGGTACGGCATGGCGGGTGAATATGTATACCATATATGTATGTGTATATATGTATATATGTATATATACATATATATATATATACACACACACATACATATACATACACATATACACACACATGCATACATACGTACATACATACATACATACCTACATACATACACATGATATGCACATTATATATATATATACATATACATACATATATATGTCTCCTAATTTTCGGCT